GTTGCAACCGAGGACAGGCGATTTTTACACACTACGAGCTTCAGCACTCAGCGGTCCCGTTCTGTGAGCTTGTGTGGCCTATCATTTCGCAGCTGAGCCGTTGTTCCCCCTAGACGTTTCCACTTCACAATAACAGCACTTAACAGTTGACCAGGGAAGCATCCTATGACGGTGCCACTGAGCTCTTCAGTAAGGCCATTCTACTGCCAATGTTTGTCTATGGAGATTGCATGGCTTTGTGCTCGTTTTTATACACCTGTCAGCAACGGGTGTGGCTGAATTAGCCGAATCCACTAATTTGAAGGTGTGTCCACATACAGTGCATTCGGAAAGTATTCAGACCCTTTCCCTTTTTCCACATTTTGTTACGTTACAGCCTAATTCTAAAATTGATTAAATTATTTTTCCCCCTCATCAATCTACACACAATACCCCATAATGACAAAGTGAAAACATATATTTTTTAAATGTTTGCACATTTATAAAAAATACAAAACAAAAATACCTTATTTCCATAAGTATTCAGACCCTTTGCTATGAGATTCAAAATTGAGCTCAGGTGCATCCTGTTTCCATTTATCATCCTTGAAATGTTCCTACAAATTGATAGGAGTCCACCTGTGGTAAATTCAATTGATTGGACATGATTTGGAATAGAAAACCTGTCTATATAAGGTCACACAGGTGACAGTGCACGTCAGAACAAAAAACAAGCCATGAGCTCAAAATAATTGTCCGTAGAGCTCCGAGACAGGATTGTGTCGAGGCACAGATCTGGGGAAGGGTACCAAAAAATGTCTGCAGCATTGAAGTACCCCAAGAACACAGTGGCCTCCTTCATTCTTAAATGGAGGAAGTTTGGAACCACCAAGACTCTTCCTAGAGCTGGCCTCCCGGCCAAACTGAGCAAACGGGGGTGAAGGGCCTTGGTCAGGGAGGTGAGGCGGAGATGGGCGAACCTTCCAGAAGGACAACCATCTCTGCAGCACTCTACCGATCAGGCCTTTATGGTAGAGTGGCCAGATGGAAGCCTCTCCTCCGTAAAAGGCACATGACAGCCCGCTTGGAGTTTGCCAAAAGGCACCTAAAAGACTCTCAGACAATGAGAAACAAGATTCTCTGGTCTGATGAAACCAAGATTGAATTATTTGGCCTGAATGCCAAGCATCACGTCTGGAGGAAACCTGGCACCATCCCTACGGTGAAACATGGTGGTGGCAGCATCATGCTGTGGGGATGTTTTTCAGCGGCAGGGACTGGGAGACTAGTCAGGCTCGAGGGAAAGAGAGATTATTGATGAAAACCTGCTCCAGAGCGCTCAGGACCTCAACAGGACAACGACCCTAAGCACACAGCCAAGACAACGCAGGAGTGGCTTCGGGACAAGTCTCTGAATGTCCTTGAGTGGCTCAGCCAGAGCCCTTACTTGAACCCGATCGAACATCTCTGGAGAGACCTGAAAATAGATGTGCAGCGACGCTCCCCATCAAACCTGACAGAGCTTGAGAGGATCTGCAGAGAACAATGGGAGAAACTCCCCAAATACAGGTGTGCCAAGCTTGTAGCGTCATACCCAAGAAGACTAAAGGCTGTAATCGCTGCCAAAGGTGCTTCAACAAAGTACTGTGTAAATGGTCTGAATACTTATGTAAATGTTATATTCAGTTTATTTTTATTTTTAAGACATTTGCTGAAATTACTAAAAACATGTTTTTGCTTTGTCATTATGGGGTATTGTGTGTAGATTGATTGGGGGCTGTAACGTAACAATATGTGGAAATACTCAAGGGGTCTGAATACTTTCCAAATGCACTGTACTTTTGTATATATAGTGTATAAATTGAACATGTAAAGTGTTGATCCCATGCTTCATGAGCTGAAATAAAAGATCCCAGAAATGTTCTATATGCACAAAAAGCTTATTTCACACAAATGTTGGGCACTAATTTGTTTACATCCCTGTATGTGAGCATTTCTCCTTTGCCAAAATAATCCATCCACATGACAGGTGTGGCATATCAAGAAGCTGATTAAACAGCATGATCATTACACAGGTGCACCTTGTGCTGGGGACAATAAATGGCCACTCTTAAATGTGCTGTTTTGTCACACAACACAGTGCCACAGATGTCTCAAGTTTTGAGGGAGCGTGCAATTTGCATGCTGACTGCCGGAATGTCCACCAGAGCTGTTGTCAGATAATGTAATGTTAATTTCTTTACCATAAGCTGCCTCCTACGTTGTTTTAGAGAATTTGGCAGTATGTCCAACCAGCCTCACATCCGCAGACCACGTGTATGGCATCTTGTGGTTGGGCAGTTTGCTGATGTCAACGTTTTGAACAGAGTGTCCCATGGGTGCATTGGGGTTATGGTATGGGCAGGCAAAAGTTACGGACAACGAACACAATTGCATTTTATCGATGGCAATTTGAATGCACAGAGATACCATCGTGCCATTCAACCACCGCCATCACCTCATGTTTCGGCATGATAATGCATGGCCCCATGTCGCAAGGATCTGTACACAATTCCCGGAACCTGAAAATGTCCCAGTTCTTCCATGGCCTGCATACTGTACTTACCATACATGTCACCCATTGAGCATGTTTGGGATTCTCTGGATCGACATGTATGACAGTGTGTTCCAGTTCCCACCAATATCCAGCAACTTCACACAGCCATTGAAGAGGAGTGGAACAACATTAAACAGGCCACAATCAACAGCCTGATCAATTCTATGCGAAGGAGATTTGCATGAGGCAAATGGTGATCACACCAGATATTGACTGGTTTTCTGATCCATACCCCTACTTTTTTTTAAGGTATCTGTGACCAACAGATGCATATCTGTATTCCCAGTCATGTGAAATCCATAGATTAGGGCCTAATGAATTTATTTAAATTCACTGATTTCCTTATATGAACTGTAAGTCAGTAAAATCTTTGAAATTGTTGCATGTTGCATATTAATATTTTTGTTCAGTATACATCTAGTAAATAATCTTATTATATTAGTATATGTGATATCCCCCCCAAAAAATTGCAGCACACAAACTGAACATGATGAACATGAAAGACATTTACCGAAAATAACTATAACGCCCCTTATAAGACACGCCTCCTGATAATAAGCTAAGGATTACATTTGTACATTTTTTGTCAGTTTAGCAGATGCTCTTATCCAGAGCGACTTACAGTTAGTGAGTGCATACATTTTTCATACTAGCCCCCCGTGGGAAACGAACCCACAACCCAGGCGTTGCAAGCACCATGCTCTACCAAGTGAGCTACAGGGGACCAATTCATTCAATAAGACCCAGCTGCTGGGTCAACCCAGCATGAAAGTTAAAAATAAATAGCTGATGGTTAATTAACCCATGTTTGGGTAATCCCAACAACCCAATATGTTGGGTTATTCACTCAACCCAACTGGCTGGGTCAAAATAACCCTGTGTGTGTTCTGTCTAATATTTACCCAGCGCTGGGTTACCAAATAACCCACATTTTGTTGTTTTTAACCCAGCATTCAGCAGATTGTACTGTTTGGGACTACCTGAACCTAGAGTACAAAAGGAGTACATTGATAGTAGTGTGTGTTACACCTAGCAGTGTTAGATTCAGACTAGAGTGTATACACAGCAACAGCCTCTTGCAGTATCAGAGCTCAGAGCTGACTCTGTCTCAGAGAAGCTTTCATCCTCCTACCTGCTGACACACACACACTCACACAAATGCATTCATGCACGCACACTCACACACATACTCATGCACATGCACGCATGCACGTCACACACACACACGCTCTCTCTCTCTCTCTGTTCAGATTGGTTTTTGAAGACAGTACTCAGATCATACATAGTTAACACCTCTCTCTCTAGCCCTGGTTGTAGAATGAACATTATTGAAGGGGTTCAGTGGAATGGCATTAGGTTGTTGGTTGTGAAGAGACAGTGGTACTAGTTCTGCTGCTTGGTAGATAGTCTGGGCTTAGGGAGACAGAGAGGGAGCTTTAGTTGAGGAGTTGAGGAGATAGTATCAGCTCGGTCGCACACACACATACAGACACACACACACACACACACACACACACACAGAGCGGAGACATCAGAACACTGGGCTTCTATATCAGCATGCCATCTGAACAGACGTATCCTGATACAGCCACAGGCATACATACACACATACACACACACATAAACAGGCACACACACACATGCACACACAGTATTGCACAGTGGGAAGAGTAACAGAGTTTGCTGCAGTAGAGAGAGATTGGGGAAAGAGGGCAAGAGAGGGAGGCAGAAAGAGGACGAGATAAAGGGAAAGAAGTGGAGAGGGAGAGAGAAAGAGAGAGAGAGACAGAGAAAGAGGGGTGGGGGGGAGCATTCTCCAAACCGTCTCCTATCCCTTTAGTCATGGTCTGACTGGCTGTGAAGTAGACATTACTGTCAGCTCTTGTTAACAATACCCCAAAACTCTCCCAAAACTCTCACATAACTCTCCCAAAACTCTAACATCTTTGAGGCCAGCAGAAAACATGGAGTTTGTCACCTGTACAGTAGATACATAGGGCTGCTTTAGTTGTTTAGCCTGATCTCTTGCTGTTCCCCCCCCCCCCCCCCCCCCCCTCACTCTCTCTTTCTCTCTCTCTTCTCTCCTTTAGAAGGTCTGATGTCCAGACTCTGTGCTCTTCCATGTATGGTCCAGTGGAACTCTCCTTGACCATTATATAGACTTCAAACACACCCAGCAGTTACTGCGACCACACCTCACAACTACCTCACCTTGACCCTTGACCCCTTAGCTTTAAACCCTCACCCCTGACCCATACTCTTTACCTCTAACCCCTCACTCCTCCTAATCCTTAACCTTACTCCCCCTCTCCTCTCCTCTCCTCTCCTCTCCTCTCCTCTCCTCTCCTCTCCTCTCCTCTCCTCTCCTCTCCTCTCCTCTCCTCTCCTCTCCTCTCCTCTCCTCTCCTCTCCTCCCCTCTCCACCATGTTATCCCGTATCACCACAGTCCTCTTAGCTGTGTTGTGTCGATGTGTGCTGGTGTCTCTCGGGGTGGACCCCCCTCACCCCCGTCGGGAGATCCGAATCGAGGGAGACCTCGTCCTTGGGGGTCTGTTCCCGGTCCATGAGAAGGGGGGAGGAATAGAGGAGTGTGGGAGGGTAAACGAGGACAGAGGGATCCAGAGGTTGGAGGCCATGCTGTTTGCTATAGACAGGATCAACTCTGATCCTACTCTACTGCCTGGAGTCAGTCTTGGAGTTCACATACTGGACACCTGCTCTAGAGATACATACGCACTGGAACAGGTTGGTGAGCAATGTCACACACACACATGCACCCACACACATATGCACAAACATACACACACACTCTTTATTGCTTCCTGCTTTTTCTATCTGAGCTCTTGCTCTAGAACATTTATACAAATGGCATAATAAGCTTGACCTTGAAATCACAAAAGTAAGCATTACTGTAGCTCACAAAAAACACTGTGATCTCCTTTTCTTTCAAAAGATTTGAAAATATTACATTTACAGTCTTTCAATAAGTGTTTATTGAGTGTATGTACATGGGTGTTTGTGTGTGTGCGTGTGTGCGATGCTGTGTGTATGTGGATGTGTTTAAGTATACTTGTGGGGACCAGAAGTAACAACAATAATAGTAAACAAACAAACATTTGGGTCAAATGATATTTCTAGGGGGTTTAGAGTTAAGGTTAGAATGAATGTTAGGGTTAGAATTAGGGTTAGGGTTAGGGTTAGGTTAGGGGTTAGGGAAAATAGGATTTTGAATGGGACTGAATTGTGTTTCCCCACAAGGTTAGCTATATAAGACTGTGTATGTGTACTACCCAGGCGCTGGAGTTTGTGCGTGCGTCTCTGACCAAGGTGGACGATACAGAGTTTATCTGTCCTGATGGATCCTACGCTCTACAGGACGACAGTCCCCTGGCCATCGCTGGAGTTATAGGAGGATCTTATAGCAGCGTGTCTATACAGGTAACACACAAACAAGATCACATGGTTTGACACGTTTTGACTTCAGTATTCAACGTTTGACCATTGGGTTAAGTTAAGGCATTTATTCCGAAAGGTTAAGGTAAGGGTTAAGGTTTGGGATAGGGTTAAATCAGAAACAACGTGACGGCTAAGTTTTAATTCCGAATGGTTAAGGTAAGGGTTAAGGTTTGGGATAGGGTTAAATCAGAAACATCTTGACGGCTAAGTTTAGGCATTAATTCCGAATGGTGAAGGTAAGGGTTAAAGTTTGGGATAGAGTAAAACAATTATTTTTTAAAATAAAGTGCTGCAAGCCTACTTGATTGGAGTAGCGCTCATCGTTGCCAGAGTAGCGCTCATCGTTGCCCCTAGTGGCGGCTTTGAAGGCATCTCCCGACATCCTGGACAAACGTCAAATATCACCTTGGATCTCGAGTGACCTGGCTGAACAGACACAAGTACCACACATGCACGCACACATACACAGACACACACACAAACAAGTCCATTCACACACATCCAGTGATATGGTATTGTGACAGAGTAAGGTGATTTACATAGTTCAGCATAAATCCTCCTCTTCTACTCCTCTGCACAGCAAAATCACTGGTGTACAGTCGTGGTCAAACGTTTTGAGAATGACACAAGTATTGGTCTTCACAAAGTTTGCTGCTTCAGTGTTTTTAGATATTTTTGTCAGATGTTACTATGGTATACTGAAGTATAATTACAAGCATTCCATAAGTGTCAAAGGCTTTTATTGACAATTACATGAAGTTTATGCAAAGAGTCAATATTTGCAGTGTTGAACCTTCTTTTTCAAGACCTCTGCAATCCGCCCTGGCATGCTGTCAATTAACTTCTGGGCCACATCCTGACTGATGGCAGCCCATTCTTGCATAATCAATGCTTGGAGTTTGTCAGAATTTGTGGGGTTTTGTTTGTCCACCCGCCTCTTCAGGATTGACCACACGTTCTCAATGGGATTAAGGTCTGGGGAGTTTCCTGGCCATTGTTCAATGTTTTGTACCCCGAGCCACTTACAGTGGGGGAAAAAAGTATTTAGTCAGCCACCAATTGTGCAAGTTCTCCCACTTAAAAAGATGAGAGAGGCCTGTAATTTTCATCATAGGTACACGTCAACTATGACAGACAAATTGAGAAAAATAAATCCAGAAAATCACATTGTAGGATTTTTAATGAATTTATTTGCAAATTATGGCCTGGCCAGTCTCCAGATCTCAACCCCATAGAACATCTTTGGAGGGAGTTGAAAGTCCGTGTTGCCCAGCGACAGCCCCAAAACATCACTGCTCTAGAGGAGATCTGCATGGAGGAATGGGCCAAAATACCAGCAACAGTGTGTGAAAACCTTGTGAAGACTTACAGAAAACGTTTGACCTGTGTCATTGCCAACAAAGGGTATATAACAAAGTATTGAGAAACTTTTGTTATTGACCAAATACTTATTTTCCACCATAATTAGCAAATAAATTCATTTAAAATCCTACAATGTGATTTTCAGGATTTATTTCTCTCATTTTGTCTGTCATAGTTGACGTGTACCTATGATGAAAATTACAGGCCTCTCTCATCTTTTTAAGTGGGAGAACTTGCACAATTGGTGGCTGACTAAATACTTTTTTCCCCCACTGTACTTATCACTTTTGCATTATGGCAAGGTGCTCCATCATGCTGGAAAAGGCATTGTTCGTCACCAAACTGTTCTTGGATGGTTGGGAGAAGATGTTCACGGAGGATGTGTTGGTACCATTCTTTATTCATGGCTGTGTTCTTAGGCAAAATTGAATGAATGGTCTCAGGATGCTTTACTGTTGGCATGACACAGGACTGATGGTAGCGCTCACCTTGTCTTCTGCGGACAAGCTTTTTCCGGATGCCCCAAACAATCGGAAAGGAGATTCATCAGAGAAAATTACTTTACCCCAGTCCTCAGCAGTCCAATCCCTTTACCTTTTGCAGAATATCAGTCTGTCCCTGATGTTTTTCCTGGAGAGAAGTGGCTTCCTCGCTGCCCTTCTTGACACCAGGCCATCCTCCAAAAGTCTTTGCCTCACTGTGCGTGCAGATGCACTCACACCTGCCTGCTGCCATTCCTGAGCAAGCTCTGCACTGGTAGTGCCCCAATCCCGCAGCTGAATCAACTTTCGGAGACGGTCCTGGCGCTTGCTGGACTTTCTTGGGCTCCCTGAAGCCTTCTTCACAACAATTGAACCTCTCTCCTTGAAGTTCTTGATGATCCAATAAATGGTTGATTTAGGTGCAATCTTACTAGTAGCAATATCCATGCCTGTGAAGCCCTTTTTGTGGAAAGCAATGATGACGGCATGTTGCAGGTAACCATGGTTAACAGAGGAAGAACAATGATTTAAAGCTTCCAGTCTGTTATTCTAGACTCTTATCTCCCTCACTAACTTTAAGCATCAGTTGTCAGAGCACCTTACCGATCACTGCACCTGTACACAGCCCATCTGAAATTAGCCCACACAACTTCCTCATCCCCATATTGTTGTTTATTTTGCTCATTTGCACCCCAGTATCTCTATTTTCACATCATCTATCATTCCAGTGTTAATACTAATTGTAATTATTTTGCACTATGGCCTATTTATTGCCTTACCTCCATAACTTGCTACATTTGCACACACTGTATATATATTTTCTGTTGTATTTTTGACTGTATGTTTGTTTTACCCCATATGTAACTCTGTGTTGTTGTTTTTATCGCACTGCTTTGCTTTATCTTGGCCAGGTTGCAGTTGTAAATGAGAACTTGTTCTCAACTGGCTTACCTGGTTAAATAACGGTTAAATAAAAAATAAAAATATAATAATACTGTGATGGTCTAGTTTTACCCTAACACAGTGGTGTTAGGAAACTCCTGGTTTACAGGCCACATCAGGCCTCTAATTCACATTACGCTGGCTTGCAAAGTAAAGTGTAATTCCTATTGGAATCCAGCCAGAGTTAGGATACACAACAGTTGCAATTTTTATTCTCCCGCAACCTGCATTCAGAATGACTGTCAGGATTAAGAAAGATTATAAGAAGACTAGCTAAACCATTTAAACTGGAATAACCATATCAGTAACGGGTGCAATAAAAATAACTAACTTGATTGGATTAGTTTTGAAAACGGTATGTTCTTTATGTAGCATAAGATTAACCAATCATTCAATGCACATGCAAAAACACAGATATTCAAAACAATCCCAAAAAAAATCCACCTGCAGTAGAGCATGCTGGGAAATATGATAATGATGGGCGTGGTTTTGATGGGACTGTTTTACTCTCCAAAGTGTAAAACAATAACTCTGGTTATTAATACCAACACTGGGGGTTGTTTTAAACCACTGAGTGTTCATTTAACTCAATTTAACTCCTGAATCAACACTAGAAATGTTACACTGAAAAATCAACACTGGCCAATTTGCTGTGTGTGACTGCACAAAGCATCCTCTCCTTTCCTCTCCTCCATCTGACCCAAATCCCTAATCTCTCAATTTCTCTCTCCCTCCAACTCTCCCTCTGTTTTTCCTCAATCTCTCTTTCTTTTGTTTCGCTCTCTCTGACTCTCCTACCCCATCTTTTCCTCTCCATCTCTCTGTGATTTTCCTGTGTTTTATATATTTTTCCACACTATGAGGTTGGAATAATACTGTGAAATTGTGAGAATTATGATAATGCCCTTTTAGTGTAAGAGCTGTTTGAAAAGACCGCCTGAAATTTCAGCCTGTTTTGGTGGGATGGAGTTTTGGCCTGCCTGGTGACATCAATAAGAAAGACAGTTCCAAATCTCTCTGCCGATAACAGCTAGTTTTCAGTTTTTCCCTCCCCACTCAGACCACTCCCAGACAGTCTCTTGCTAAGATGATCTTTTTGAACATTTACATTTAAAACAATCAAATTAAGGTACTTAATTGTTAGCCAGAAATAATTTGATAATGAGATAAAAATGGCTGCATTGGGCCTTTAAAAGCTGTCACTCCTTCACTCCGAGGGGAGAGCCCAGTGTATTCTGACCTCAGCCCACTCTCCTCCTCTCTCAGATAGGCATTGTTATCCCTCCATCGCTTTTTTTTCATCACACACAATTAGTCCTTGTTTTCTCTGGGCTGACAGTTGTTGTTGTTGTTGTTGTTGTTTGGCCTGTGTGCCCTCAGAGCAGTCTGTGTGTGTGTGTGTGTGTGTGGTGTGTGTGAGAAAGAGAGAGAGAGAGAGAGTTTTCCTATATTTGTTCTTTGCAGGTTATCTGTTCCTACAAACATACTGTCATAGGTATTTAGTTAGTTTACAACCATAGATGCCTAGCAGCTATTTGTATAGTAACCACATCTGACTCACGTAACAAATAAAAAATGCTGTCACTACACCCTCTCTCAGTCCACACACAAACTTGCACACATTACTGGAATGTATTCCCATGTTCACATCATAGTTCACAAAATGACTCAGATAGCAGTCATGTAATATGATTAGATGGAGAAACACGTCAGTATATCCACCTGTACAGTGTGTGTGTGTGTGTGTGTGTGTGTGTGTGTGTGTGTGTGTGTGTGTGTGTGTGTGTGTGTGTGTGTGTGTGTGTGTGTGTGTGTGTGTATGTGTGTGTGTGTTTTAATCTCCTGGATTATTCATTTAATGAGATGCTGACATGTTGTCAAAACTTCACAGAGTTGTGCTGTGAATTAAATTAAATATAGACGAGCCATAGAACCATGCCCTAACTGGATTAAACATGAGCTAAACCAACACAGCTGTACTGTGTGTGTGTGTGTTTGTGTTTGTGTGTGTGTTTGTGTGTGTGTGTGTGTGTGTGTGTGTGTGTGTGTGTGTGTGTGTTTGTGTGTGTGCGAGCGTGCGAGTGTAAAATCCCAATCAGGAGAACGTGACCATAGAAAAAGGAATATAATATGAACCCCAGAGCCCTGATGTCCAACACTAATGGATGAGTGTTTGCAAGTGTGTGTGCATCATCATCTGTGTGTGTGTCTGTTTCTCACATCTTTTTGCCTCTCTTTCCCAGGTGGCCAACCTGCTCCGCCTCTTCCAGATCCCTCAGATCAGCTATGCCTCCACCAGTGCCAAGCTCAGTGACAAGACGCGCTACGACTACTTTGCCCGCACGGTGCCCCCTGACTTCTACCAGGCCAAGGCCATGGCAGAGATCCTGCGGCTGTTCAACTGGACCTACGTGTCCACGGTGGCATCAGAGGGCGACTACGGAGAGACGGGCATAGAGGCTTTCGAACAGGAAGCACGAATGAGGAATATCTGCATCGCTACCTCTGAGAAGGTAGGAAGAAATAGGAGTGGATAGGGTTGTCAGGAGATTATATAGGTAGATTGACAGTGAAGGAGATAAGAGTAGACCTAGGTTAGAATATAGAAGAACAAGCATGGAGTAGATGAGGGGTTGGTCAAACAGAAACAGCAGGAGAAGAGTTGGGTTTAGAGTTAACCCTACAGTGTGATACTATAGTATTTTAGCCTGCTATTCTATGTAATAGACCTCTTCCTGAATTTTGTTTACTCCCTCTGGTTCCAGTTTAAATAACTAATTACCTCCTCCTGTCCAGGTGGGGCGCTCTAATGCTAAGAAGTCCTATGAGGCAGTGATCAGGCAACTCCTCCAGAAGCCCAATGCCCGCGTGGCGGTTCTCTTCCTGAGGAGTGATGACGCTCGGGAACTCCTCTCTGCCGCTGCACGACTCAACGCCACCTTCATCTGGGTGGCCAGCGATGGCTGGGGGGCACAGGAGAGCATCGTCAAGGGCAACGAGGTCACGGCCGACGGGGCCATCACCCTGGAACTGGCGGCCAATCCCGTGCCGGCTTTCAACCGCTACTTCCTATCTCTGGATCCAATCAACAACCGCCGCAACCCCTGGTACCGGGAATTCTGGGAGCAGAAGTTCCAGTGCTCACTTGGCGGAGGGGGAGGAGGAGGTGGGGCAGGAGGAGTTGGGGCAGGGGGGATGGTGTCTCTCTCCCTCCCTCCATGTGAGAAGGGTGTATCGGTGGATGACAGTAACTTTGAGCCCGAGTCCAAGATCATGTTTGTGGTGAATGCGGTATACGCCATGGCCCACGCCCTCCATAAGATGCAGAGGACATTGTGTTCCAACACCACCAAGCTCTGTGACAGCATGAAGGCTCTGGATGGACGCAAGCTCTACAGAGACTACCTTCTCAACATCAGCTTTACAGGTCAGTACTGTCTGAAACTACCTACTGATCCTCAGCTTCACAGCTCAGTACTGAAACTACCTAATGATCATCAGCTTCACAGGTCAGTACTGTCTGAAACTACGTACTGATCATCAGCTTCACAGGTCAGTACTGTCTGAAACTACCTACTGATCATCAGCTTCACAGGTCAGTACTGTCTGAAACTACGTACTGATCATCAGCTTCACAGGTCAGTACTGAGACTACCTACTGATCATCAGTTTCACAGGTCAGTACTGAGACTACCTACTGATCATCAGTTTCACAGGTCAGTACTGTCTGAAACTACGTACTGATCATCAGCTTCACATGTCAGTGCTGAGACTACCTACTGATCATCAGTTTCACAGGTCAGTACTGTTTGAAACTACCTACTGATCCTCAGCTTCACAGGTCAGTACTGAGATTACCTACGAATCATCAGTTTCATAGGTCAGTACTGAAACTACCTACTGATCATCAGTTTCACAGGTCAGTACTGTCTGAAACTACCTACTGATCATCAGCTTCACAGGTCAGTACTGTTTGAAACTACCTTCTGATCCTCAGCTTCACAGGTCAGTACTGAGATTACCTACGGATCATCAGTTTCACAGGTCAGTACTGAGACTACCTACTGATCATCAGTTTCACAGGTCAGTACTGTCTGAAACTACCTACTGATCCTCAGCTTCACAGGTCAGTACTGAGACTACCTACTGATCATAATTTTCACAGGTCAGTACTGTTTGAAACTACCTACTGATCCTCAGCTTCACAGGTCAGTACTGTGACTACCTACTGATCATAATTTTCACAGGTCAGTACTATTTGAAACTACCTACTGATCCTCAGCTTCACAGGTCAGTACTGAAACTACTTCCACAACATCAGCTTCACAGGTCAGTACTGTACACCTGGGAGAATGCAAGGGGAGCGGTAGAGTGAGAGAGGGAGGGAGTTAAAAAGAGAGAGGTAAAGGGGAATGCTCAACATGAACTTTACTGGTGGTCTTTTTGAGGGGAGGGAGAGAGATGAAAGGGGAGGAACGAGAGTTCAGTAGGAGAGAGAGAAGGGGAGAATGATGCAAGCATTGCTTTCGCAAGCATAGCAACATGAAACGTGTAAGAACAATTCACCTTAATTAACATGTACGGTCATGCTTGCTAGTTGCCATTGGCATTTATTAGCTGTATGTAATTGATACGACAGCACAGAGCAGGTGTGACGAATCACAGCTCAAGTTAATCCAACCCCATATTCTATCATGTCTACTAATGACATTCCATTTTATAATAGAGACTCCTATAGAAGTAATAATGAGATTGTGTGTGTGTGTGTGTATGTGTGTGTGAAGACTGGAGAGAAGAAAGAAAGGGAAATAGGATTGGGTTGAGTGGCAGGTGGGGTACAAAGACAGAGGAATAAATACACTGCTGTAGGAAAGACAGACAGACAGGTATTGAGGTGCTTACTCCACTGCTAACCATTACCAATTGGGGACATCAAAATACATCAACAAACAGCTCTGCCACTACAGCTTTAGAAAGACTGGGAGAGGGAGTCAGAGACAGAAAAAAGTGGGAGGTTTGGGCATATGGTGACTGACAGGCAGACTGAAGTGGGGAGAGGTGGAGAGAAAGGAGAGAAAGGTAGCAATAGTGAGAGGGAGTGAGGTGGAGAGAGAGGGATAGAGCGAGGGATGGAGGCAGAGAGGTAGAGATGAGTTGCTGGTGGCGTGGGACAGTATGAATCAGCAGAAGAGGATTCTCTTTGAAATTCCACATCTTCATTTCTCAAGCTGCAAATCAAAGGACTCAGAGCATGACTGTCTGAGGGAGAGAGAGAGAAGGAGAGATAGAGGGGGAGAGAGTAAATACAACCCATATTTATGTTTATTTATTTTCCCATTTGTACTTTAACTATTTGCACATTGTTACAACACTGTATATATACATAATATGACATTTGAAATGTCTTTATTCTTTTGGAACTTCTGAGTATAATGTTTACTGTTAATATTTATTGTTTATTTCACTTTTGTTTACTATCTACTTCACTTGCTTTGGCAATGTTAACATACGTTTCCCATGCCAATAAGGCCCTTAAATTGAATTGAATTGAATGAGAGATAGAGGGAGAGAGGGTGAGAAGGAGAGAGATAGGGGAGAGGCAGAGAGGCAGCCCAGCCTCCAGTGAGCAGGAGAGGAGTGGAGGTGGGAAAGATAAGTCTGAAAAGTTAGGGAGGGCTGGAGAGAAAGTGAGAGAGATGGGGGAGTCTTATCTGATCTGCTAGCATCCCTAAAGTTGATCTCCCCTCTCCTCCCTTCCCTCTCTCCCCCTACCTCCCTTTATTTTGGTTACCAGAGCTAGAGGAAGAGATCTCTTTAACTTTGAAAGAGGGGTTTCGAAGGAGCATAGGGGATTTAACGGGTGTATGTGTGTTTGTGTGTGTCTCAGTCACCAGATCTCAACCCAATTGAACACTTATGGGAGATTCTGGAGCGGCACCCAGGACAGCGTTTTTCACCACCATCAACAAAACACCAAATGATGGAATTTCTCATGGAAGAATGATGTCACATCCTTCCAATAGAGTTCCAGACACAAGTAGAATCTATGCCAAGGCGCATTGAAGCTGTTCTGGCGGCTCGTGGTGGCCCATGAGTTGCCAGACAATTTAAGTTGGTGTTTCCTTTATTTTGGCAGTTACCTGTATATTACAGTTCGGAATAGATAGACATGTGGTACACTGGTGATGATCAAGGTGAGGAGGATGAGGCCCTCTCAACGCTAGAACAGACCCCTCTCTGTAGCTATGCTGTTGCTATGGTAATGAAGCTGACACTATGGCCAATTGTCGAAGTAATCCTGTAGATGTGAGCTTCTCTCAATGCCAACTGCTGAACACACACATGCACGGATGCACACACACACACACACACACACACTCACTTATACACACTCAGAGATTTGCACAAAACGACAGCTTGAGATGTTTGTTTTTTGCTGCCATGAAATCGCAGACACCCCCAACCCACACACTTTTTAAAGCCGTCATTCAACTCCCACCTACCCACCCCCATCTGCAGCTCAGATCAGTCAACACACACACAAACACACACAGGCAACCTCCTGTTCAAATAGTTGTCATAGATGTGTGATATTCCCTCTCCTCTGCTCTTTTATGAGTGCATGTGCGTGCGTGCGTGTGTGTGTGTGTGTGTGTGTGTGTGTGTTAGCAGAGCGAGGAGAGGCATTGTGCCTTCAGGGCGCTATTGAGCTGAGAGCTTACTGTAACGGTTATGTGCCAGAGAACAACCTTCACTCTCTCTCACTCTGTCTCTCCCTCTCTTTCTCCTCCTCTCCCCCTCCCCCCTCTCTCGTCACACTTGATAACAGTGCTTCCCACTCATAAACTCTTCACAAGCTTCTTCCCTGGCTGTTATTTTTCCTTTCCTTTCCTCCACTCCATCCCTCATTCCCCTTCCTTTAGCTCATCCTTTTATCTCACACCTTTCTTTCTCTGCTATTCCTTTTCCTTTTCTGCTATCTCTTCTTTCCTCTTGTCAGTCCCCTTCTGTCTCCTCTCTTATCTTTTCTATCACTCTTTTTCTTTCTCGACCACTGGCTCTGTTCTTTTCTCTATCACCTCTCCTCTCCCCTGCTATTCCTTCTTTTGTCTCCTCTATCACTCCTCTCTTATCTCCTTTCCTGTCCTATTATGGTGCCTCTTTCCTTTCTTCTCTCTTTTCTCTCTCTTCTATCTCTTCTTTTCTGTCTGCTGTCCACTCTGAATCTCTATCCCAGGAGAGAAAGACCACATAGAGAACAGATATAGCCCATAGTGGTGTTTTGTGTATGTGTGTTGGTGTACACTCTATGTAACCCTGCAGTGCTGTGTAGCTGTGTGTGTGTTGTTTCTGACACGATTGTTCCTTCTCCCGACACACGCTCACTCTCCCTGGGACACAGATGTATGAGGTCATCATCACCCCAAACACTCCTGATTGGACTGAACACTCCCCATGCCTAACACACATCACACACATCACACGCACACACGCACACGCTCAGTGTGCCTAATGCACATTACACACACCACTTTACATTGCAGCCCTGAAGATGCTAGTGAGGGTGGATGAGAAAGATGATGAAAAAGAGGGATGAACAGAAATAGAGAGTGTGAGGGGAAAAGAGGGAGAGAGAGCCTCTGGGATCTCCAAATCACCCATCTACAGCAAGGACAGTAGAGGAGAGGAGAGGAGTATTTTCCGTGAAGATTATCTGAGCATATGTTGCACAAAGCTGTTTTATCCTGTCTAAATGTTACCTGTCCCCTAGTGTGTGGTGACATCAGCTAATTAACAGCCAGCCAGGTGGACTGTCTCTCTCTCTTTCTCTCTCACCCGCCCACCCTCACTCTCTATTTCTCTCATGTGCTGCAGTATCAGATTATGTATTCCCTCACTTCCCCCTTCATTGGATTAAAGGGGGTTGTCTCTCCTCCTCCCTGTAATACCCACAAACCCCTGCGGCCAGCACGTTACCCCGATATGGCAGAGAGCGTAATTAATTTCTGAACCTCTGAATGAAAACTCCTCTTCCCCTTACTTTTAATTAATCTAGAATAATAAAGACTCTCCCAACTATGTCAAGTTATGCATGTTTTTTAAACTATTATAAACCTTTTGCTCTCAGAATGAAATCTCTCTATCCTCTCTCTCTCTCTGACTCTTTCTCTTCTAACGTTCCTCAGTTTTTCTCTAGTCTTAATCGCTGTAGTGTAGCTCCAGCTGTTTCAGTGTTAGAGAAAGCCTGCTGCATTAGTCTCTGGATAGAGAGAGCTAGAGAGAGAACGCGAGAGAGCATTGTTGTAGCAGTAAGCAATAGACGGATGGTGTGGACAGACTTGCTCTGCATATGAAAGCAGTGCAGTGCTTTACTGTCTAACGTAAAGCTGCAGACTTTGCAAACTTCAGCCTCTTTCCAACGTCAGTGTGGACTAGGACAGTGGTTATTCCACTAGAGCGCTCAACACATAGCAGATACTGCTGGGGAGACCTGAGGAGACTTGTGCCAACTTTAGAGCCTGAACTGGAGTCTCCCAGAGCTCCTAACCTGTTAGAACAAGCTGAGGGGAGCGATGTGTCTTCACCCTGGGCTACAGATGTTCTCTAGACTGATAGGGTCAGATACTGTGTCACATAGAACATAATATAGGAAATTGCAGGACGAACAGTTTACGGGTTTGTTAGGAGTGTGTGTGTGTGTGTGTGTGTGTGTGTGTGTGTGTGTGTGTGTGTGTGTGTGTGTGTGTGTGTGTGCGTGTGCGTGTGTGTGTGTTCAGCAGTTGGTATTGAGAGAAGCTCACATCTATGTGAGTGAACAGTGGACACAGGCTTCCATTCCCACAAGGCACCAAACCTGAATGAACTAGATCACACAGCCATAGAAACAAAGGCCTCTACTGGTGGGGGTGGGGATCTGATAGCATGTTTTTCTGTTGTTGTATTTTTTTCTCAACCAGCTCTCACGGTCTCATGTCAGAATTAGACATTTGTCCATGTTTCTCAAACTTTATATTTCAAAGTTGTTCCAAATGTCAATTTTCGACATTGTTCCAAACTGAATATTTCAAAGTGTTTAAAGTTAGGTTTAGGCATTAACTCTGAATTTTTAAGGTTAGGGTTAAGATCAGGCATTAACTCGAAATTCTTAAGGTTAGGCATTAACTCTGAATGGTTAAGGTAAGGGTTAAGGTTCGGGATAGGCTTAAAACAAAAATATCTAAAACAACTTTCTATCGCTGGATTCGAACTTGCAACCTTTGGAATCAGAGGCAGATGCTTACTATTGCCCCTAGTGGCCATTTTCCCATGTCAACTCCCAATGTCCTCAGACATGGATGGACGGCAAATACTGACTTGTATCACGGGTGACCAGGCTGTTTTTTCTACCACCTTGTCTATGTCAGGTCTACACAGTCATAACTCAAAGACAAAACTCAAAGATAATCAAAAAGGCAGTTGTTTCAAAACTCTAAGCACATTTTCAATTGACAAAGTACAACACACAAAATCATACAGCCACTTTTTCACCAAACTTAATCAGTGTTTCATCTAGAAATACATGTTTCACATTGCAGTACATGTTCATATAAAGTAATTGCCTTTCACAATGCAATGCTCACATTACTTTTGATATGATTCTCTTCTCTTTTGATAAAATACATTTTACTATTACTTAATCCAACTGCTCTTAATTGATGATCACTTTAATGTTTGGTAAACCTATAGATTTTATATGTAAACTGGTTTGTCTACTACAGATTTTGAGAACTACATAATGAAAATGTATGTCTGTAAAGTAGAAAAATAAAAAGTATGATATATACTTGAATGCACTACTATGATGATGACTGTTATGATTTTACTCCACAGTAAGTTTCTAAAAAATCTGATATTGACAAGAAGAGATGTACGTATGTTACAAATCAAGTCAAAGTTTATTGGTTTGGTACACAGATTAGCAGATTGGACAGCAGGTGCAGCAAAATGCTTGTGTTTCTAGCGCCTACAGTACAGAAATACCAAAGCAATACGCAAATATTCTAGAAAGTCCAAAACAATAAAGAAATGCAGCCCCTATACAGTAAACATGTATCCAAAATGAAGTTGCTGGGGTCTTTTTGCTTTACTAAAATTGCATTGGCCAATACAGTACTGTAATATATGCCATTTACGTAGCAGACATTTTTATCCAAAGTGACAACAGCCCACACATTTTGGTATGTGAACCCAGTGGGAATCGAACCCACAACTCTGGTGTTGCTAGTGGCATGCTCTTACGAACTGAGCCAGGACCACCACAATACATAATAACAATACAATACTGTAAAATACAATACATGATTACAATACAGGTGGAAGATGTATGATTGCCATCCCCATGAGCGTACCACCCTCCTTCAGGCCATGGATGAGGCATAAAATGATTTCAGTCCAGACCTATGTCAGGCTTGGATTCACCATGCCAAAAGGTTTTTCCCCAGGTGCATGAACAATGAGGATATTTACTGTGATGTCGATGAGAACCTATGGCCAAATGCTCAAGACAGGCTTGATGCAAACTAGTGCCTGCAAAACATTATTTATTTAGTTTCTTTAATTTGATTACATTGTGAAAGATGTCTTCAATGATCACACCTTTGATCATACATGGGATAGAAATGATGGAAATGTGCTGTTCAGTCAACGTTAATGGGTAGTGTAAGTGTATTGCCTAGTGTGAAAACAGTGTAATGTACTGTCATTTACAGTACTGTGGCATACTACATTCAAAAGGCAATTTGGAAACATGTATCTTACATTTTTTGCTATTGGATTAACTAGTTGTTAAAATAACTAAATTTAGAAGATATTATTATGTTATGTTTTGGTGATTAAACCAATGAATTCATTATATGTCACAGTAAACTTAGATTTTGGATCAATGATTGTGTGGTGAAATGTCTACGAACAAAATGAATGCACAATGAAAGGTTCTGAATTTAAGACAGGCTGTGTAACGTGTTACCAGTTTGAAGTTATGTACTAAGTTTGGACAATTCACCACATACTTGTGAAAATAGTACCAAAGCGATAAAAAACAACTCATCTTGCAGTGTTGCAGTGTCTGTAACTTGCAGTGTTATACAGTTATGTATTGACTGTCAGCAAGGTCTCAGTTCTCTCTCTGTGTGTGTGTGTGTGTGTGTGTGTGTGTGTGTGTGTGTGTGTGTGTGTGTGTGTGTGTGTGTGTGTGTGTGTGTGTGTGTGTGTGTGTGGCTATTTTGCTTTATTATATAGAGATGGACTATATTTTGTAGTATCAAGAATTCTCATCTATTCTCAGTCTAAAGTTCTTATCAGCTTTTCATAATTGAAATCATTTAACGTTTATCTTTGAAGAGATGTAGGTTGTCTTTGTGATATATGGATTTCATAAGCCCCAAACCCTCTCTGGTCTGACACTCCATTCTTCTTCTAGTCCTAGTCAGCACACAAACACACACACAATACTATCAGCTTTAGTTCCAGTCTGCCACAATTCTCAGAACCATGTGCTCTAAACCAGTTAGAATAGGTCCTAACAGAGCCTATCCACACAGAAGCACTGTTTATACCTGGTGCTATCATGCTTCCTGTGTCCAGAGTATGTCCACGTTCTGGTGGTGCCCACATTTTCGGACAGGTGTAGACAATTAAAAGATGCATTGGGAACTGATTTTGATCAGATCTTATAAGTGTAAACGGACAAGATCAAGACAAGATCAGGACGAAAGATGCATGTTACCACCAAACATGCATAGCCCACGGATAGGCTTAACCTGACCCTTGTGTCCCCTCTAGAATACCACGTGTACAGTAGATGGTAGTCCTTATATGACCTGATCCTGAGGTGCATATGAACACAGGATCTATATAAAGCACAAGGTCTATATAAAACACAGGGTCTATATAAAACACAGGGTCTATATAAAACACAGGGTCTATATAAAACACAGGGTCTATATAAAACACAGGGTCTATATAAAACACAGGATCTATATAAAGCACAAGGTCTATATAAAACACAGGGTCTATATAAAACACAGGGTCTATATAAAGCACAAGGTCTATATAAAACACAGGGTCTATATAAAACACAGGGTCTATATAAAACACAGGGTCTATATAAAGCACAAGGTCTATATAAAACACAGGGTCTATATAAAACACAGGGTCTATATAAAACACAGGGTCTATATAAAACACAGGGTCTATATAAAACACAGGGTCTATATAAAACACAGGGTCTATATAAAACACAGGGTCTATATAAAACACAGGGTCTATATAAAACACAGGGTCTATATAAAACACAGGGTCTATATAAAACACAGGGTCTATATAAAACACAGGGTCTATATAAAACACAGGGTCTATATAAAGCACACAGCAGCATCATGGGAAACAGAACTCACTATGACACACTGAGCATTTACAACCCATCAGTAAACACACGCTGACTCGATCTTGTTCATGGAAACACTGTTGCAATATCCCTCAATCTCAGTCTCAGCTCTGTATAAGCCTACCTCAGATGGGTAAACACTAATGTTTCATCTTGTAGTGAGGAGATGAGTAACCTTTCCTGAAACCTGAAGACTCGTGTTAGCTCCCCAAGGGTTCAAACCAAGTTATTTAACACTAGTGCAACACTCTCTTACTCGCTGCAGTTGTGTTGCTGTGCACAGTATATTGACCTCAGTGAGATGCTGTAACACAGGGTTAAACCACTAAATACACTTGCTACAACATTCTCACTTTGTCACTTCGACTGGCTCTGTATGTGATTTATGTCTTGGAATTCAATACACTCCTCTGTGACACTGCTTTGTTCAAATCGACTTTAAATTAAATTGAAATCCTGACACTAGTTCCATTCTGTTTCTTATCTTCTCTCCTCATCTCTCTCCTCTAATACCCTACCATTCTCTTTCACCACTCCGCCCCTCCACTCTCCTCATCGCCCCCTCCTCTCTCTCTCTCTCTCTCTCTCTCTCTCTCTCTCTCTCTCTCTCTCTCTCTCTCTCTCTCTCTCTCTCTCCTCTCTTTCTCTCTCTCTGTCTCTCTCTCTCTCTCTCTGTCTCTCTCTCCCTGTCTCTCTCTGTGTATGTATCTCTCTCTCTCTCTCTCTCTCGCGCTCTGTCTGTCTGTCTGTCTGTCTGTCTGTCTGTCGGTCGGTCGGTCTGTCTGTCTGTCTGTCTGTCTGTCTGTCTGTCTGTCTGTCTGTCTGTCTGTCTGTCTGTCTGTCTGTCTGTCTCTGTCTGCCTGTCTGTCTGTCTGTCTGTCTGTCTGTCTGTCTGTCTGTCTGTCTGTCTCTCTCTCTCTCTCTCTCTCTCTCTCTCTCCTCATCCTTATCTCCCTCTCAGCTCCCTTCTCTCCTCTCGGCAGTGAGACCGTGGTGAAGTTTGATCCCTATGGCGACGGGATGGGACGTTACAATATCTTCAGTTACCAGCGCAACGCTGATCGCTATGGCTATGTGCCCATCGGCGAGTGGGCAGAAACTCTGAGCCTGAGCAGCGACCTGATTCGCTGGCCAAGGGAGGTGGTGCCCCCATCCCAGTGCAGTGACCCGTGTGCCCGCAATGAGATGAAGAAGATGCAGGCTGGTGAGGAACACACACACACACATAGGGCTTTGAGCAGGCTGCTCACTGCGATCTAGTGACAGTACTAGTAGAGTGTAGTAGAGTGTAGTAGTGTAATGTGTTTTGGAAGAATGAAATGATTGGAGCAGCTGGCTTTCATGTAAACATCGTAGTTTCCTTTTCTAACATAAACTCTGCCAAAGTTAATGTGTATGTTTTATACCTGTATCTTGTAGGAGAGTACTGTTGTTGGATCTGTACGGCGTGTGAGGCTCATGAGTACCTGGCTGATGAGTTCACCTGTTCGCCCTGCGCCCCCGGCCAGTGGCCCAGTGAAGACCTCACTTCCTGCTACGACCTGCCCGAGGACTACATCATGTGGGAGGACGCCTGGGCCATCGGACCCATCAGTATCGCCATTGTCGGGTGAGACTTTAGAGGAGAGGAATGGGGATTAGTCTCACCAGTTGGCCCCCGACCCCCCCAAAAATAAAAAATAAAAAATATCATTTTTGGAAGTCAGTTGGGGTCTCATCTTACTGTTAAGACATAGCATAGTACAATACACTACGTGCAATCGAAATTGCATCAGCAGTTTTTCTCTTATGATGTCAGTCACTGACAGTCAATCAATTAGACCATGTCAGCTAGCATTTTATAGATTGCTAGGTAAGTTAGTCAGCTATTTAAACATTTTGCCGAATTACTGACCGGGCACGCAAGCCATGTGCCCAGGAGCCCTGACCTGCATGGGGCCCCCATTGATTTTGTTAGTCACGCTCACTCAGATATCATATGAACATGGCATAAGTCATGGTAAAATGTGTACAACTGCAGGGAATTAGCTTTAACACTGCGAAATGTTCTCTCCATCCCATGACAAAATAAGTAGAATCGCATGAAATTATTTTTAAAACTGCAACATTTTCTCTCTGCCCCATGGACAATGTGTAGAATTGCAGGACATTAACTTTAAACCTGCACATTTTTCTCTCCGCCATGCTAAGAGGGAGGCCACTAAAATGTTTTGCCCCAAAACAGCCCTGGGCATAGGCTTAAAGTGCAGGTTTTTGTTTAGGCCTAGTACTAATTCTAGATGAATTAGGGGATTCAATAAAGTAAACTGAAACTGATCTACTCTCCCTCTGCAGGTTCCTGTGTACATCTCTGGTGTTCTGGGTGTTTGTGAGACACAACAGCACGCCCCTGGTGAAGGCGTCAGGCAGAGAGTTGTGTTACATCCTACTGCTGGGTGTCTTCATGTCCTACTCCCTCACCTTCCTCTTCCTGGCCAAGCCCTCGCCTGCTGTCTGCGCCATGCGACGCCTCGGCCTCAGCACCTCATTCGCTGTCTGCTACTCAGCCCTGCTCACCAAGACGAATCGGATCGCCCGGATCTTCAGCGGGGTGAAGGATGGAGGCGGGACCACGAGGCCGCGCTTCATAAGCCCCACCTCTCAGGTCAGAGGTCATCCTAGCTGTCAATCAAACAGGGATAGAGGGAAGGAGAGGGGAGGAAGGTAGGGAGGGAAATGTAGGAATGGATAGTTATAGTTGAGATGATGATGGTGTTCCTCTGTCTGATGATGGTGTCCCCCTCCCCCCTTGCCTCCCCTCCCCCAGGTGTTTATCTGTCTCAGTCTGATATCGGTCCAGTTAGTGATGGTGTCTGTGTGGTTGCTGCTGGAGGTTCCTGGTACCAGGAGGTTTACGTTACCGGAGCGACGACAGACAGTGATCCTGAAGTGTAACGTCCGTGACTCCAGCATGCTGCTGTCACTAGTATATGATGTGCTCCTGGTCATCCTGTGTACCGTGTAGGTGGTGTGTGTGTGTGATTGTGTATTTGTGTGTGTGTGTGTGTGTGTGTGTGTGTGGACTTCTCAAGATGTATTATTCTGTTTATTGCTTTTGACTTGAAGGATTATTTAGTCTTTCTTTCTTTTCTTGTCCTTTATCTGATGCTAGGTACGCCTTCAAGACCAGGAAGTGTCCAGAGAACTTCAACGAGGCTAAGTTCATAGGTTTCACCATGTACACAACCTGTATCATCTGGCTAGCCTTCCTGCCCATATTCTATGTCACATCCAGTGACTACAGGGTGAGAGCAAGGTTCACACACACACACACACACACACACACACACACACACACACACACACACACGTGTGCATAAACAAAAACATGTACACAACCTTTATTTTTACAACACTTTTTATTAAGACTCACTGCTGTCTTCTAATGTCACTGGCTACAGGATAGCTGACAGGATATCTAACTGTTTTATGTGCACCCTTATATTAATGTTAATCCAAGAAGCAGTCCCTCACAGACATAACTGCCAGGTACTGACAAACTGCTGACAAACAGAGCAAGAGGAGGGAGTGTGTTTACCTGATCCTTACAAAACACACACACACACAGCCTTAGGCTGTGGAAAAGACGAACCGCTGCTTTGGTCTTGGTCATTTGACTTTGTGATTAGTCAGGTAGGGAGAGACACGCAAACACACTCTGGCCTTGCCTGTGAGATGGTATGTGTGTGTGTGTGTGCGTGCGTTTGTGCGTGTGTGCGTGTGTGTGTGTGTGTGAAGCAGGAACACGTGCATGTGTGCTTTTGTGTCTGTTCATGCATATGTCCATAAAAAGAATCCTCCCTTCCTCTGCTCCTCTGTTCCAGTGGAGTTACCATGCTCTCTGTCTCCCTCTACAGGTCCAGACCACCACCATGTGTATCTCTGTCAGTCTCAGTGGTTTCGTGGTGCTGGGCTGTATGTTCGCTCCCAAGGTCCACATCATCATGTTCCAACCACAGAAGAATGTCACCAGCCTCCGCCTCAATATCAACCGCTTCAGTGTCAGTGGTCCTGCCACCACATACGCTTCACACGGTATGGTTCAGTTAGGTCAAAGACACTGACCACTGAGCATGGTTTGTTTATGTTGCAGAGGTGTAATTTAACTCAATTCCTCAATCTTTTTTCTTCCCATTTTTTTTTCTCTCTCTCTCTCTCTCTCTCTCTCTCTCACTCTCTCACACACACACATCAGTGAGTGCCCAGTATGTACCGACAGTGTGTAATGGGAGAGAGATCGTTGACTCCACCACTTCCTCTCTGTGACGCCCACCCACTCACCTCTCTATCCCTACCCACCCAGAGACTTAGCCAATAGGCACACATTGTGCCCCCCTGACACCCCCTCCTCCCACCACGTGGACTAGCACAGTACCGTTTCACGTCTGTAGAAAGTGTGTATTATGATTACATTATTTTCTAGTGCTGTACATATATAATGGAATCGACATTGTTGTAGACATACAAAATAACAAAAAAAAACTTTGTAGGAGGATTTTTTGAGCCTTTGTTTTTGATAGATTTGTTAAGAGGCTGTGTTCATTTATTTATAACTGTGCGCTGGGTTGTGATAGGAGTGTGTTGTGTATGTGTGTTAGGGTTGTGTATGTGTGATAGGAGTGTGTTGTGTATGTGTGTTAGGGTTGTGATAGGAGTGTGTTGTGTATGTGTGTTAGGGTTGTGATAGGGCAGCAGGTAGCTTAGTGGTTAAGAGCGTTCTAATCCCCGAGCCGACTAGGTGAAAAATCTGTCGATGTGCCCTTGAGCAAGGCACTTATCCCTAATTGCTCCTGTAAGTTGCTCTGGATAAGAGTGTCTGTTAAATGACAAAACAAATATAATAGGAGAGTGTGTGTTAGGGTTGTGATAGGAGTGGTTGTGTGTTAGGGTTGTGTATGTGTTATAGGAGTGTGTTGTGTATGTGTGTTAGGGTTGTTATAGGAGTGTGTGTGTGTGTATGTGTGTTGTGTGCATTACATGCTGACTACACCGGCCACGTGCGTGCGTCCGCATGTGCCATTGCGTGCATGTTGATGTTGTACATCCACACCAGACACGATCATGACACGCAGGTTGAAATATGTGAACCAACTATATTAATTTGGGGGCAGGTTGAAACACACATGAAATATTCATGGACATTTAGCTAGCTAGCTGTTGGGACTGCTAGTTTGTCCTGGGATATGAACACTGGGTTGATATTTTACCTGACATGCATATGGTCCTGTTTTTTACGGTGGCTAATTTTAGAAAGAAAGGGTCCAGATTGTCTTGCCCAGCTGATTTGTAGGGGTCCAGATTTTTCAGCTCTTTCAGAACATCAGCTATCTGAATTTGGGTGAAGGAGAAGCAGTGGGGGGGCATGGGCAAGTTGCAGCGGAGGGTGCAGAGCTGGTGGCTGGGGTAGGGGTAGCCAGGTGGAAAGCATGGCCAGCCGTAGCAAAATGCTTATTGAAATTTTCGATTATCGTAGATTTATCGGTAGTGACAGTGTTTCCTAGCCTCAGTGCAGTGGGCAGCTGGAAGGAGGTGCTCTTATTCTCCATGGACTTTACAGTGTCCCAAAACTTTTTGGAGTTAGTGCTACAGGATGCAAATTTATGTTTGAAAAAGTTAGCCTTTGCTTTCCTAACTGATTGTGTATATTGGTTCCTGACTTCCCTGAAAAGATGCATATCGCGGGGGCTGTTCGATGCTAATGTCGTACACCACAGGATGTTTTTGTGCTGGTCAAGGGCAGTCAAGACTGGGGTGAACCAGGTGCTATATCTGTTCTTAGTTCTGAATTTTTTGAATGGGGCATGCTTATTTAAGATGGAGAGGAAAGCACTTTTAATGAACAACCAGGCATCCTCTACTGACGGAATGAGGTCAATATCCATCCAGGATACCCGGGCCAGGTCAATTAGAAAGGCCTGCTCGCTGAAGTGTTTTAGGGAGCGTTTGACAGTGATGAGGGGTGGTCGTTTGACCGCGGACCCATTACGGACGCAGGCAATGAGGCAGTGATCGCTGAGATCCTGGTTGAAGACAGCGGAGGTGTATTTAGAGGGTAAATTAGTCAGGATGATATCTATGAGGGTGCCCATGTTAACAGATTTAGGGTTGTACCTGGTAGGTTCCTTTATAATTTGTGTGAGATTGAGGGCATCTAGTTTAGATTGTAGGACGGCCGGGGTGTTAATTCATATCCCAGTTTAGGTCACCAAGCAATACGAACTCTGAGGATAGATGGGGGGCAATCAATTCACATATGGTGTTCAGAGCACAGCTGGGGGCTGAGGGGGGGTCTGTAGCAAGTGGCAACAGTGAGAGACTTATTTCTGGAAAGGTGGATTTTTAGAAGTAGAAGCTCAAACTGTTTGGGCACAGACCTGGATAGTATGATAGAGCTCTGCAGGCTATCTCTACAGTAGATTGCAACTCCACCCCCTTTGGCAGTTCTGTCTAGACGGAAAATGTTGTAGTTGGGAATGGAAATTTAAATTAATCTCTCCTCCTTTGTTTCTCAAGCATCCACGTGGGTTTGTATCTTCCTGATATCCAATAAGGAGGGGACTTGCAGTCCATGGAGCGTCTCAAATAGAACCAAGTTCTATTTGATCATGTGGCTATGCAGACGCTCGTTCAAGCACACGAGCGGTGTGTATGAAATGATTGAATAATATATACTGTATGTGTACATTTATTTTGCAACGCTCGCGCACGCAACGTGGCCTGTGAGGTTTGCGTGTTGGAGTTGTGATAGGAGTGTGTGTGTTAGGGGTGTCTGAAAACAGATGTTCTGTACTAGTAGTGGCTGCGACAGCCTCACCTGCAATAGCCTACAGACTTTCTACTCTTGTGTTTTTTTGTAGGTCTCATTGTAATAACCCAGTCAGTATGCATTTGTATGTTGTATCTGTATATTTGTATATAATATTACTGATGGTTGGAACAGCACAATGTTGACAGTATTATGTAACTCCAGTAGGATTCCCACTACTGTGGACTGACTGTGGATGAAGCTCCATGAGTGTTGACTAGCCCATAGGAGTAGAATGGCTGGAACGGACATAGTCTCCAAAATTCATATAGTATGTTGAATCACACATTTGCTTTTATTATAGCATATAGCAGAATAGTATCAAATATTTATTGAACTTTCCCAATAATGCACCCATAATGGCAGCCAGTCCACCCAATATAGACCATTGTTTTGAACTGGAACTGGAATGTTCTTTCTACTCGTTCTATTTCCATGGAACAGCCACTGTATAGGAGTGTCCCTATACCTTGATGGCCATAGTAACAGACGTGTGTACAACAATGCAACAACAACGTTTCTATTTAACTGGTATTTTTGCATCAAACGTTAGCATCAGTGTGACAACACAAGGTAGTTAATTACAAGTGACTCTTCAAAGTCTTAACTGTCAGTATTAAAGAAACATTGCAGATGCAATGCCACAATCATAAACTCAGTCACTGATGTTTAATTTAGCATTTAGAAACATTCTTTGAAATCATTCCACAAGCACGGTTTGTAGAAAATACTTTGCTGCGAACAAGTCTAGTTGTACACACATCTTCCCTGCATCCTTTAAACCAATGGGTAGTGCACTCTCCTATGTCAATGTGTCCTGTAGTCATGTGATGATGTTTTATTAACGGCTATGTGCCGTGTATCTGCTAGTCTTATGCTCCAGGTAGAGGCTGTGCTTATAGGCACAGATCTAGGATCAGTTTATAGTCCACCAATCCTAACCTTAACCAGTAGGGGTAAAGACGTCAAACAGACCTTAAAGCAGTGTCTGTGGTTAAAATCATCCTAGTCCCAGTGTTACTATAGCCTCCCCAGGTCTCATTGTTAATATAAGAGCAGGTGGGAGGGAAAGCAGTTATTTTTTATGCATCTCAAATGGATTCCGATACAGGTCGCCTCGTCTTCTTTCCTTCATCCCACTTTTCTGTAGTGTGAAACACAGGAAGTGGAGTCCAGTAGAATGAGGCCACACCCCTCTCTGCTAACAGGATTTCCTGGGGTGTGATAACCGTTGTTACACCTCTGACGCAGTGCGCCTGTCAAACATTTCCCCCAAGGCTTAGCAATGGTGAAAGACAGACACAACGAGAGAGGGAGAGATAGAGTGTTTCTGTGATTGAGCAAACCTAAAGAAGTGTGTGTGTGTTGCAGCAGGCAGAGGAGCTGGATTATGTAAAAGCATCCCATGGCCCAGGAGGCAGAGCAGCATTGTTCAGCCCAGACACACACTAACATACACAGAGCTCAGAGATTGGGAGGCTTTGTTGTCCCGAGGCTTATGTATTCACTCCCCAGCCCTGCACCCACCAGATACTACACCCTCCCATCCCCTCCCCGCATTGCACATCGCTATGGCAAACCACTGCAACATCCGCTTTCACAATTCCTTTTGTTCTGATGGAGTGGGATGGGGGAGTCAAGGATGAAGAACAGAGGTGGGGGATGTTGATTCACACTCAAGTTGTCTCTAATGATGGGACTTGGTGGAAAACTCTCTCTCAACCATTCCTTCTCTCCACATTCCACCTCTCCATCTCACTTCCAGCCTTTGTCTCCCCATCTTTCTCCGTCACCCACAGCAGTCTCCCTTCACTCTCATCTTGTGAAACTTTGCTGGTGCACTTGTCTGAGCCAAGATAGCTTAAGACAGGCTCTGTATGGATCCTGAGCCCACTGCAACACATCATGCCAAGAAGAGTTCTGTGAGCCCACTCCAACAGGCCAAGCACACGGATACAGAACCGGACTCATATACAAGCCAAGGACATGGGGCTGTCACAACAGGAGCCTTGAGGAGATGGAAGAGGAATAGATGGAGAGAGAGGAGTTAGTGTTGCAGTCTGTTTGTGTGAGCTGTGTTCAACTCAAAGCAGTTTCATCCTGTAAAAATAGTACAGATAAGAGGAGGCATATAACTACTCCCTTTGAAAAAGACAACTGTACTACTTAACTTGACCAACAGGGAATGCAATGTGTACATATGGGAATAGGCTATGAAAGTGACTGGTCATTTACTAGCAATGCAGAACAGTACAACAGAACAGAGACGTTAACAGTCATTGTTTTACCATTATCAGTATCAATGCTAATGGTACGAAGTGTGTCCAAAGGGGTCTTTAATAATGTTAACAAATAATGTTTTCGCTTTCACAGCGTATTCTCAACTGGAATTAACCAGTGTTCCCCAGATGTTAAAGGAACAGGCCAGAACATTCTGGAGTCAAGGTAGAAGTTGCCATATCCTCAATTCTAACCGTAACCATTAGATGACAACGTATCAGTGGTTAGGGACAATTTCACCCTACTCCACAATCTGGAGTCAAGGTGAACCCTGACCTCTTTGGACAATCACAAAGCAATAGAGCTCATGATGCTGCAATAATGAAGACATGATGACATCATAATAAACAATAACAAATGATATGCCTGTCTTGTCTGCTGTTTCTTGTGTGTGCAGGACTTCCATTAGAAGTGAAGCGACAGATTCAAAGTGTACACAAACACATTATCGTTTATTTCACTTTAAATAACAGAAAGGAGGTCAGAATCGTATCATCGTATGCATATTGCAACATCGCCACGCCTGGCTGAACTAGGAGAGGGTGCGGGACAATCCCTCTTCAGCATCACCATGGTAACCCAAAGCCTACACAGCCCCCCTAAAACAAACCAAACAGACAGATCAAATGTGTCACGGCTCACGGATAGTGCTGGTCAGACTGAGATGAGACTGTACTAGGGTGTGTGTGTGTAAGTCTGCCGGGTATCTAGGGCTCTGTGAGCACTTCTGTAGATCTCAAAGGATTGTACAGCAAAAAATCCCAACCAGCCTTTCAGAGGGCACGGTGGAACACTGTTTCTTTACTCATATCCAGATTATTAAGAAAGAGCTTAGGGTTGGTGTGAAGTTGGTCTCAGACGGCAAAACACCTGAGTGAAAACAACATGGCCACCAAAGCAACCTGACAACAGAGTGACGAAAAAAACAACACAAAAACATCCCACATTTAGACTCTACACACGACCCATATACCACACCATACACACCCCTTAAATCACACCACCCATATACCACACCATACACACCCTCTTAAATCACACCACCCATATACCACACCATACACACCCTCTTAAATCACACCACCCATATACCACACCATACACACCCTCTTAAATCATGCCACCCATATGCCAACAATCCAGGGATGAGGTCAGAAGGGTGTAATGTCCTTTCACATGTGTTTGTGTCGGTGCGCATGCATTATGGGTGTGTGTTCTCTTAGGGTGTGTGTGTACTCTGCATGTGTGTATGTATCACAGGAGGCTGCTGATGGGAGGACAGCTCATAATAATGGCCGAAACGGAGCAAATGGAATGGCATCAAACATATGGAAACCATGTTGGATGTATTTGATGCCATTCTACTCATTCCACTCCAGCCTTTACCACGAGCCCCTCCTCGCCAATTAAGGTGCCACCAACCTCCTGTGGTATGTATGTTCTGGTTGTGTGTGTTAAGGGTTCAAACACTCAACAGGGGTGATCTGTTGAAAAAATCTCTCTGAGGGGTTGGTCTCTCTCTCCCTCTCGCTTTCCTCTTTCTTCACCCCCACACCAATCCGTTTGACTGTGAGGAGTTCAACTGGACATTTTCATACCTTTCTCTGTTTCCCTGTGGATGAAACAGACACATGCACACGTAAGTCCATGATCTAGCATTACCATGAGAGAAACAGATTCTGCACTCGCAAATGTACGCACACACACCTCACACACACATGTAGGTAATATAGTTTGATTTCTGCATAGTTTTTAATTCTTACTCTAGATGTGATGGCTTTGAGTTTGCGTATCAGGGATGTTTTTTTGGAGTAGACCACCTCGTCCTCCACCTCTCCCTCCATCACGGCACAGCTGTCCGCCCCCGGCAGTTCAGACTCCTTATTGGACGACATCACCAGCTTTGAGTACTTATACTCCAGCCTATCAGAGACAGGGGGAGGTGGGACTTAGAAAATTCAAACCTACAGTACTTGTTCTTCCAGAAGTTTGAATTAATTAATGAAGGAGTGAAGGACTGAATCAGTTCCTACCTCTTGTTCTTCTTCCAGAAGTAGCAGGTGATGGAGAAGAGCAGTGCGGCGGTGAATGCTCCTATCGCCGCCCCCATCTTTACCAAGAAGTCCATGCTATTACACGGCCAGGTCTTGTTCTCCGGGAGGGACACCCCTCCAACACACAGCTTTGGTTCATTCCAGACATACAGCTTGTCCTGGGGAGAGAGCAGAAACACACACATGATAAAGCTGAATTTAATATAATATAATTAAGCAATAAGGCCTGAGGGGGTGTGGTATATGGCAAATATATCACGGCTAAGGGCTGTTCTTATGCACGACGCAATGTGGAGTGCCTGGATACAGCCATTAGCCATAGTATATTGGCCACATACTGTACCACAAACCCCTTAGGTGCCTTATTGCTATTATAAACTGGTTACCAACGTAATTAGAACAGTAAAAAAAGTATCATACGCGTGGTATATTGCTTTCAGACAATCAGCATTCAGAGCTCAAACCACCCGGTTTATAACTGAACACATAGAATGGTAAGTATAACACACGCACACACCTGCAGTCCTCCCTTGCAGGCTGCCTCTATCTGGTGGTAGTCTGTGGGGGTACACTGAGGACACGCCCCCGAGCTTTCCCACAGGAAGTGGAAGATACAGCCGTCACACGTCCCTGCCGGACACTGACTACAACAGAGAAACATACCGTTAATGTTATGTATGTATCTACGCTTTACTTTATAAGGACAGTCTCAATGAGATTTAATCTGATCAAATCTGAATGATAAATCCATGTTTGTCCTCAGCTTCCCTCATTCCCCCAGTCTGCAGCCTCATCACACAGAGTTAGATAACTAGCTGCCTGGGAGCAAAACCAAACTACTTCATACTAATTTAACAGTCACAAGAAGATTCAGAGTTTCTGTGAATTCAGCTTGCAGTTCGTTTCAAGCTTGGACTTCTTTCAAGTCGCTCCTTTTAGTAGAAATCTCCATTGAGGCTGCAGTTTCTGAGAAAGACAGAAAGAGGAAAAGAGAGAGAAAGAAAGAGGGGGGGGGGGAAGAGGAGCGGGAAGGAGACAGACAGACAGTAAGTACCTGGGTACTGTGAGTTCTCCTTGTGTGCTCCTCTCCGAGTTACAGCGAAGTGTCACCACCACATTACGACCTGCTTCACATGACGAGGTTGCCTCCAGAGAACTAATCAATAGAAACACAACATATGGTGAAAAAACAGCAGGGTTCTACTGTGTAAGAGCTACTACAAACTACCCCAAACTATTAGAGTATTGAGCCTCAATAACAGTATCCACAGAATAAGTTGTGTTTTAGAATGTAGAGAACATAAACCTACCGGTAGAAGAAGTTTACATCTCGGACTTTGTTGGTGGTCTGTGGGAACAGGTCTGGTCTTGCCTTCACTCCATCCAGAGTCAAGGCCACTGTTGCTCCTACACACATCCATCCATCAACAGGGTTGGGTAGGTTACTTTACAGTTACTAGTTACCTTTTGAAAATTGTAATGAGTAACTTTACGTAATCTGATTTCATTCAGTTACTTTTAGATTACTTTCCACTTATGAGGCATTAGATGAAGACCAAAAGGAATATTACCAACAGAACGACATCTATTGCAGGATAAATCATTGTTAGAGTTGACATAGCTGGCCATAAATTGATGCATTTTACTTTATGGGTTGGTTATGTAGGCTTCTTCTAACCCATTGCTTTCTACTACAGATAATAATATGATTAGGTTATATCTTTACATTCAAACCCAAAGTCAGATTTAGAGTAATTCCAATTAATTTGATCTTCAAGAATAGAACTTGGAATTATGGAAGTATATAGATTAGCCAAATTGTTTTACCTGAGGATAACACAAAAACTAAGGATTTATTAGCCTACTCGGTTGTTTATGATTTTGTTGTCATGGAGGACTGATTGGGCTCATTGCTGTGAGTTGAAAATAAATGCTGCTCTCATGTAATGGTATTCTTTGAGTACTACCAAAAAATGCTATTTAATGTGAAAAATGTACGCCATATGCTGCATTTGCTATAGGCCTATTGTTTACGTTTTTGTTGGTGACACTTTGATATCTCAATAATTTGCAGCTGTTTAAAGGGCGAATCTATAGTTGAAACAATAACAAAGCCACACCCCGCCTCTGTTTTGGTAAAAAGCTGAGGGATGGGCCTGGAAAAATGTAATCACTCTCAGATTAATAGACAGAGCTATGGATGCAAGGACTGACCATCCATGATATAACAATTCTTGTTTTAACCATGTTTTTAGGCTACACAGTGTATGCATACATTTACAATGTTTACAAACATTGGAGAAAAACAAGCTTATATTTTGGGTTCATTAGGCATTTATAAATTATATTCTTCAAGAATCAAAGGATATATGTCATTAATTTATTCGTCCAAAAATGAATGCAGCAACTAAAGATAGCCCCTTTCAGACTGTCAAAAGTGCACCAGTTTGAGCATGTGTCAGTAAGGCCTTAGGCCTTTTCCATCAATAATTAGATTGAGCAATTAAAGCCCCACTCGTGGTCTTCTTAAATTAAACTCACTTTTGACAGTCTGGAGCACAATACCGTGGAGGACTTTAGAAGGGAACTCCATCCGCACTATGCAGCTGCTGCAAGAGCGCATTTTTCACCGGCTGTCCACTGGTTGCAAAAACAATGATTGATAGGCAGCTTAAACTTCTTCAATTCAACCATTATTGGGTTAAAATACATATATACATTTGTGAACAGCCATCCACAACAACCAAAATCCATAAGGGGCAAATAGGTAAATGAGAGAGCAGCAGTGTGATCCACATCAATGCGCTATGTAGATATCAATAATAAGTGATATCCGTGTCGCCCGTAGGCTACACCACTGCTGTCATCCTTACCTTCAAGCGTTTATTCAAGTTGGATAATCTTTGGATGCCTACAGCAGTCGCACCATTGGAAGATATAGCTTGGAATGTACCCTACAAAAGCCTATTCCTGCTCTTTCCCCGCAATCCATCAAACGCATTTGCTGTGTCATCAGTGGTCTCTGACTTGTGGTCAGACTTGCTCAGACGGAACAAAGTTTTTTGCGCCTTTTTTCAATGCTGATTTGAATGTCATTGCGAAAACAGAAAGGTGTCCCCAAAAAATCTCTCGTAAACATCCTTTCTGAATTTAAAAGTAATCCTAGAAGTAATCATCTAGTTTTTCAAAAGTATCTGTAATCTGATTACAATATTTTTGCTGGTAATGTAACGGATTACAGTTTTCATGTAATCCGTTACTCCTCAACCCTGTCCATCAATCAATCAACACCTATTATACACCAGCGCCAAAGATCGGCATCAGGTCACAAGGAAAGTGTGTTTGGTTGTGTGTGTACTCACCCAGGAACGTGTCTGCTAAGCTGATGGACTGGGAGGATAGTGCTGTGCGGAAGCCCCGCCCACTGGAGGGGATGATGGTTGATTGACAGATGAAACTCTCCACCGCATTGGCTGATTCACCTGTCTCTCTCTGAGAGTCGGCGCTGGATAGGTCAGTCACATTGTCTGTACACACAGCCCTCATATCCTGAGAATTGAGGCTCAATTCAGGATCACAATGTAATTGTAGGTTGAAAATATAGTTCATCAATGCGTGTCTGTGTGTGTGTGTGTGTGTGCTTGTGTGCGTGTGTACCTCTCCTCCACAGATGCTGATGTTGAAGAGGTGGTAGTACTTAGTTCCTTTGGAGGTAAAATGGGGTCCGTTCATCAGTGTTCCAACAGAGCCCAGAGAACTGTAGTCAAAACTCAGAGACACTTTGTTCTCAGAGTAGGAGAACACACAGTCACTGTAGCACCTGCTGTGCTCCTAAAAAAACACAAACATTATTCACTTGTGCACTATGCATCTGGGGGAAGAAACATTGGACACACACTTTTATTCACCAAGCTCTACCCACACACACACACACACACACACACACCTTGTTACTCTTGCTGGATGGTCCACACTTTTTGCAGGCCTCTGGGCTCTGGGTGCTGTGTGAGGTGAGGTGTGTGTTGGGGGGGCACTCTGTGCACTGGCTGGTGTGTGTGTGTATGTAGTGTCCTGGAGGGCAGGGTACACACAGTGAGCCGGAGGGTTGGGAGAGGAGGGCACAGGCCTGACACTCTGACGACGCACCGTCTACTGCGTTACTCACTGAGATGGAGTAGATACGCACCATGTCGTTCACATTCTGACGCACCTGGAGGAGAGAGAAAGAGAGAGGCAAGTAGTAAGAGGGAGAAAGTGCTCTATTAGTATACGATTGTGTCTGTATTACTGCATTGTGTCTGTGTTACTGCATTGTGTCTGTGTTACTGCATTGTGTCTGTATTACTGCATTGTGTCTGTATTACTGCATTGTGTCTGTATTACTGCATTGTGTCTGTATTACTGCATTGTGTCTGTATTACTGCATTGTGTCTGTGTTACTGCATTGTGTCTGTGTTACTGCATTGTGTCTGTATTACTGCATTGTGTCTGTATTACTGCATTGTGTCTGTATTACTGCATTGTGTCTGTGTGCATGTGTGTACTTACTTCAGAGGCTTGGTTGGTCCTCTGGAAGGCCCATGTGTATGATACAGAAGCGTTCTTGGTCATGATGTATGTGTACGACTGTTTGACCTTACTGCCCTCCCACGACTCCACCACCGTCGTACTCTTCCTGTTTATATCCTACACACAGTGATGTCATTTTTTTTTATATGTAAAAAAGTAGTTTACACATGTCCAACTATTTTCCAGGTGCCAATTACAAAAGTAATATTAAAGGAATAGAAATACCCACACACTTGTGTATATGCTACTGTATAGTTTGCAGTGAGTGTGGGTTTTTCTTTATCTTCTGCTGTTCTCACCATCATAAAGTACAGCTCACAGTCAGATGAACACACCATCTCAAACTCAAAGATGATACGGCCAAACTCTGTCCCTGCACCACCTGTTACTGACATAGGAGGCCTGAGGATGGACACACACACATTAAGAGAGAGCTAGGAGAGGGGAAGAGAGACAGAGCGAGAGAAACTGACAGACAGATTGAGGTTATTGGACTCACTTGAAGCCAGGTACGTGGAGGTTGAGGATGAGGTAGTCATTATCAGAGCCCCCTGCTCCACTGCGGATATGATCCCCCGCTACCTCCCAACCTGAAGGAGAGACATACGTATCAGAAAAGACGCACACACACAACAGGGTCTTCCCTGACTATTTAACTCAAATGTGGCCTGTGGCCCACCTATACATTTTGCTGAAGTGTCTAAGGCAGGGGTATCCAACCCTCCTTCTGGAGAGCTACCCTCTATTTGTTCTTATCCTGCTGTAAAAGCCTGCCTACCCAGCAGCTTTCCAGGAGGAGGGTAGTTTATCTTACCCCATGGCCTAAGAGGAACTTGTCAACAACAGTAAAGAGCAACAGTGCCCTCTAGACCTCAGAGAGAGCACCTGCACCAACCCACCGTTCATGCCGTCACACTTGGAGTTTCCCACGTTGAAGCAGGACGTTTTCATGTTGGCTGGTACAATGTTCCACCACTTAAACTGATAACCTACAGCAGGCTCAGTACCTGCCGGACACGACTCACACGCTGGGAGAGAGAGACAATGGGGAGAGGAAGAGAGATCAACATTTTGGAAATCAAACATAAATAAAAACCAGCACCCATTGGGCAAAGCAGAACAAGGACAAGAGAGATAGAGAAGGACAAGGGAGAAAGGGGTATTTTGTCACCTTTGACCCCATCAGAGAATGTCCCAGGGGCGCAAGGAGAGCAGGTGGCTGTGTTGTTGTTATAGAAACCGGGGTTGCAGGGGGGGCATGTCTCACGGTCACCTGAAGGGGGCAGTGTTTCAGCCCCAGCCACACCCACCAGACAGATCTGAGGCTCCACCCACCTGTAGATCACCTGTGTCTGAAACCACACACACAGAGACAACATGGAGGATGAGGAAACTGTAACCATACAGAGAGCATGGAGGACACAGACATTGAATTATAGGGATACAGGTGCTAGAATGGCTAACCCCTGCAGGGTACTGGTGTAGATCAAAAAGTATTGGTTAGGTGTAGAGTAAGCAATCTAGCGATAATGGATGTGGTATTGGGAGGGTGAGTTGGTCTTCTCACCTTGCCCTCAAGGTCACAGGGGGTGTGGATCTGAAAGTAATCCTTCTTGGAGCATGGTGGTCTCGCTTTGCATACACCTGACCCTGTCGCTGGAAGAGAGAATGAAAGAGAGGGGGAGAGAATGTGTGTGAAAGAGGGAGAATATGTTTAAAACAGTTCACACTGTGTGTATGGGTGTGTGTACCTAGACTTGTCTGCATGCTTATATGCGTGTGTACCTACGAGCATAGTGTGTGGTGGTGTTGCAGGGGGTACAGGAGCTGGCTCCGTGGCCAGAGTGGGTGTCTCTGGGGCAGGGATGACATGAGGAGGAGCCTGGGGTTTGACTGAACGTCCCTGGTTTACAAGGGAAACACTCTGATGCATATGCCACTCCTAGAGATAGAGATAAAATAACACATAAGTAAAGAGGGAAACTGGCATGAACAACTACAATAAAGACACACACACACACACACACACACACAGGTCCTACCCTCTATGTGGACATTCTTCAGCAGAACAGGTTTCATTACTTTAGCTCCCAGGACCCCTGCTGTCTTCCAGTACAAGATGTTAGTGCCAGACTTCAGATTCACCTTGAACACACACACACACACACAGCTGATCAACTTATAAATCAATGCATAAATGATCCAACCTGTGTTTTACCACATGTTTTTCACAGTAGAGACCTGTATGGAATGCCCATGGAATGAATGCCCATCTATGCACTAAGAGCATCCCAATACTGGACACTAGATGGTGCTGTACCCTCACAGAGGATGCCTAACCTGTCAAACCACTCTTTACATTTCACATTTTAGTCATTTAGCAGACGCTCTTATCCAGAGCGACTTACAGTTAGTGAGTGCATACATTTTCCCCATACTGGCCCCCCGTGGGAAACGAACCCACAACCCTGGCGTTGCAAGCGCCATGCTCTACCAACTGAGCTACAGGGGACAGTATGTGTCTCTTACAGTGTGTGTGGCCCACTCCCCGTGACTGGTGAGCTTGAGCCACTTCTTATCAGCAGTCTGGTCCATCTCCTGACACTGGTCATTCTGAATCTGCCAACCAATCAGAACATCAACCAATCAATCAATTTGTGAATATCAGTATATTTAGTGTTCTGGAAGGTATTGCAGAGGAGAATAGCAGATATCATAGAAATTAGTGAATGAAGTAGAAGACTCACAAAGAAGTCGAAGAACAGCTTGTGGTCGGTGTACTGGTAGTCAAAGGAGACTGATCCCTGTTTCTTCAGATGGACAGCATAGATCAGAGAGACAGTACACTCATCTCTGTTAGACTCCAGGTAACTACTCTGGGGGAACCAGGACGAACTGGGCACACACACACACAGCAGAGATTAATGAGATGTATGTGAGAACTGCGATACCACAATGATTTAAAATCAGAACAGGCGTAAGCCCTCCCCTTCACACACCTGTTGCAGGTGAGGCTGTCGTTTCCATGGGGACCATTGTCGAGGTAAGTTGCTAGGGAGCTGAACCCGGTAGGGATGGTTTCCCAGTCATCGAAGCGAATGCCGCTGCCCAGAGAGTAGGTACCTGCTGCACACTGAGTACACTCCTGAGAAGACATCTCCAGAAACTCCCCCGCCTCACAGGAAAACGCTGGGGGGGAGCGAGAAGGGGGTGGGAGAGAGAGAGAAGAAAGGAAACATTACTGGGTGTACAACTAGGCTGGCCACTTAATAAGGCTAGAGGGAGTTGACTACATTTCTTACATCTGTCCATTCCTCTTACTTCCAGGAGGGGGGTTACAAGTGGACACTTCAGGGAGAAGAAAAGAGAATTATACCACTGTTTGGAAATGTCAGATTTATTTCAGAGTATTGCCATACATATCTGTTTTACTGTTTCTAAATGAAAGCACTTTCTGTATCTGTCACGACTTCCACCGAGGCTGCCTTCCCTCCTGGTTCGGGCAGGCTTCGGCGTTCGTCGTCACCGGAGTACTAGCTACTGCCGATCCCATTCTCATCACTCCACTTGTCATGTCTTGTCAATCACACACACCTGGTGCTCATTCCCCAAATTAGTATGTGTAGAAGTGTTCCCTCTGTTCCCCTTGTCTTTGTGAGTGATTGTTTTGTTGTGAGAGCGTGTAGCTCGGTTGAGCTACATTTCACTGTGTTATTTGCCAAGGTGGATGTTTTCCCTTGTACAGTTTCGTTTGACGCTTGGGGTGTTTGATTTATGCAAATGGTTTAAACTCTGGACAACGGTATTTTACCTCCTGCGCCTGACTCCTTCTTTCACACGTCGTCACAGTATCTAGTCCCCCCACTTGAAGAAGTCATAAGTATTTGGACATGAAGTACTTCAGTTACTATTCAGATACTATTGGGCAAAACATAACCCAAAACACAATCAAAACGAACTTCAAATGCATCCAACGAGTTTGTAGAGTCACAAGCTTGATGTAGTCAGTGTGCAAGGAATATGCACGGTTTGACTATAAGGCACAGGGGGTACTGAGGTATGTACCCTGACCTTGGTGAACATGGTGGTTAGTCACCTTCAACATGCAAAATCATATGCACACATTTTAATTATTGATTTTAGTTCAGCTTTTAATGCAATGCAAATACACACACCACTCAAACGGCTACTGGACCTGACTGTCAACGGAGGCCTCGCAGGTTGGATCAAGGACTTTTTTTGCCCACCCACAGAGGGTTCTCATGAATGGGGCCCTCTGAAGAACTGACCCTGAACATAGGCCCCCCCCCCCAGGGGTGTGTCCTTTCACCATAGTTGTTTTCTATCTACACTAACGAGATGAAGATCCAAGGAAACAATGAGAGCCTTTTCAAGTACACGGATGACATAGCTATTTTTTAAAGATGCTACGTCAGATGGTGACAGCTATTTTAAAACAGATCAACAACCTTCAAGAATGGTACTGGTCAAGTGCCCTCTACATCAATGTGGACAGGACAAAGGAGCTGATCATCAATGGCAACAACCTGCCAATGTCCCAACCACTCTCTCTGAACGACCAGCCAGTGGAGGTGGTTGAGTGTTTTAAATACCTAGGGCCACAAATTGATGATAAGCTGAGCTTTAAAGAGAACGCAGACTGTATTTTTTTTCAAGCAAGCCAGCACCTCTTTTTGATCAGGAAATTGAAGGGGTTCGGGGTCAGCCAGGATGTTTTGGAGAGGTTGTACAGCAGTCTGGTGGAGAGCATCCTCACATTCAATATGGTGTAGAGCATCCTCACATTCAATTCTAGTCCTATGTTCAGTCCCTGGACAATAAAGTAGACAGGCTCAGGATGAGGATCTCCTTCCAGAGAGACATCAGAGACTGTAACATACTCTGTTTCACGGAATCATGGCTCTCTCCGTATATACTGTCCCCGTCCATACAGACAGCTGGGTTCTCAGTACATCGCACAGACAGGAATAAAGAACTCTCCGGGAAGAAGAAAGGCGGAGGTGTATGTTTCATGATTAACTACTCATGCAGACCGTATTAGCTCCCAAGATAATTATCTTCGGTTATAGTCACAGCCATGTATACTCTCCCTTCCGGGATGGCTACAAGGCCCTCCCCCGCCCTCCCTTTGGCAAATCAGATCACGACTCCATTCTGCTCCTCCCTTCCTATAGGCAGAAACTCAAACAGGAAGTACAAGTGCAAAGGTCTATTCAACGTTGGTCTGACCAATCGGAATCCATGCTTCAAGAATGTTTTGATCATGCGGACTGGGATATGTTCTGGGTTGCCTCTGAGAATTACATTGATGCATACACTGACACGGTGACTGAGTTAATCAGGAAGTGTATAGGGGATGTTGTTCCCACAGTGACTATTAAAACCTACCAAAACCAAAAACCGTGGATAGATGGCAGCATTCCCGCAAAACTGAAAGCATGAAGCACCGCATTGAACCACGGCAAGGTGACTGGGAATATGGTTGAATACAAACAGTGCAGTTATGCCCTCCAATCAAACAGGCAAAATGTCAGTACAGAGACAAAGTGGAGTCGCAATTCAACGGCTCAGACACGAGACGTGTGTTGCAGGGACTCCACACAATCACGTATCACAAAGGGAAAACCAGTCACGTCGTGGACACCGACGTCTTGCTCCCGGACAAGCTAAACACCTTCTTCGCCCGCTTTGAGGAGAACACAGTGCCACCGACACAGGCCGCTCCTGAGGACTGTGGGCTCTTGTTCTCCGTGGCCAACGTGAATAAGACATTTAAGCATGTTAACCCTAGCAAGGCTGCCGGCCCAGATGGCATCCCTAGCTGCGTCCTCAGAGCATGTGCAGACCAGCTGGCTGGAGTGTTTACCTCCACCTTACCTGACACACTAGACCCACTTCAATTTGCATACCGCCCCAACAGATCCACAGACGATGCAATCGCCAGCGCACTGCACACTGCCCTATCCCATCTGGACAACTGGGTCCTGGACTTCCTGCCCTGTGCAACATACACACATACATACATATCGTGCATTCGGAAAGTATTCAGACCCATTCCCTTTTCCCACATTTTGTTACGTTACAGCCTTATTCTAAAATGGATTACATTAAAACAATTCCTCATCAATCTACACACAATACCCCATAATGACAAAGTGACAGGTTTTTAGAAATTTGTGCTAATTTATTACAACACAAAACAGAAATACCTTATTTACATAAGTATTCCTACCCTTTGCTATGATACTCGAAATGGAGCTCAGGTGCATCCTGTTTCCATTGATCATCCTTGAGATGTTTCTACAACTTGATTGGAGTCCCTCTGTGGTAAATTCAATTGATTGGACATGATTTGGAAAGGCACACACCTGTCTATATAAGGTCCCACAGGTGAAAAAAACCAAGCCAAGAGGTCGAAGGAATTGTCCGTAAAGCTAAGAGACAGGCTTGTGTCGAGAGTTTGGAACCACCAAGAATCTTCCTAGAGCTGGCCACCCGGCCAAACTGAGCAATCAGGGGAGAAGGGCCTTGGTCAGGGAGGTGACCAAGAACCTGATGGTCACTCTGTCAGAGCTTCAGAGTTCCTCTGTGGAGATGGGAGAACCTTCCAGAAGGACAACCATCTCTGCAGCACTCCACCAATCAGGCCTTTATGGTAGAGTGGCCAGACGGAAGCAACTCCTCAGTAAAAGGCACATGACAACCCGCTTGGAGTTTGCCAAAAGGCACCTAAAGGACTCTCAGATAATGAGAAACTAGATTCTCTGGTCTGATGAAACCAAGATTGAACTCTTTGGCCATGCGTCACGTCTGGAGGAAACCTGGCACCATTCCTATGGTGAAGCATGGTGGTGGCAGCATCATGCTGTGGGGATGTTTTTCAGCGGCAGGGACTGGAAGACTAGTCAGGACGAGGGAAAGATTAACAGAGCAAAGTACAGAGAGATCCATTATGAAAACCTAGTCCAGAGCGCTCAAGACCTCAGACTGGGGCGAAGGTTCACCTTCCAACAGAACAATGACCCTAAGCACACAACCAAGACAACACAAGAGTGGCTTTGGGACAAGAGTCTGAATGTTCTTGAGCCAGAGCCCGGAATTGAACCTGATCGAACATCTCTGGAGAGACCTGAAAATATCTGTGCAGCGACGCTCCCCATCCAACCTGACAGAGCTTGAGAGGATCTGCAGAGAAGATTGGGAGAAACTCCCCAAATACAGGTGTGCCAAGCTTGTAGCGTCTTACCCAAGAAGACACATGGCTGTAATCACTGCCAAAGGTGCTTCAACAAAGTCCTGACTTATGTAAATGTCATTTTTCAGTTTTTTTTATTTTTTATAAATGTGCAAAAAATTCTAAAAACCAGTTTTTGCTTTGTCATTATGGGGTATTGTGTGTAGATAGATGAGGGGAAAAAACGACTTCATCAATTTAATCTGTAACGTAACAAGATGTGAAAAAAGTCAAGGGGTCTGACTACTTTCCGAATGCACAGTCGTGGTCAAAAGTTTTGAGAATGAGACAAATATTAATTTTCACAAAGTCTGCTGCCTCAGTTTTTATGATGGCAATTTGCATATACTCTAGAATGTTATGAAGAGTGATCAGATGAATTGCAATTAATTGCAAAGTCCCTCTTTGCCATGAAAATTAACTTAATCCCAAAAAAACATATCCACTGCATTTCAGCCCTGCCACAAAAGGACCAGCTGACATCATGTCAGTGATTCTCTCGTTAACACAGGTGAGAGTGTTGACGAGGACAAGGCTGGAGAGCACTCTGTCACGCTGATTGAGTTAGAATAACAGACTGGAAGCTTTAAAAGGAGGGTGGTGCTTGAAATCATTGTTCTTCCTCTGTTAACCATGGTTACCTGCAAGGAAACACGTGCCATCATCATTGCTTTGCACAAAAAGGGCTTCACAGGCAAGGATATTGTTGCTAGTAAGATTGCACCTAAATCAACCATTTATCGGATCATCAAGAACTTCAAGGAGAGAGGTTCAATTGTTGTGAAGAAGGCTTCAGTGCGCCCAAGAAAGTCCAGCAAGTGCCAGGACCGTCTCCTAAAGTTGATTCAGCTGCGGGATCGGGGCACCACCAGTGCACAGCTTGCTCAGGAATGGCAGCAGGCAGGTATGAGTGCATCTGCACGCACAGTGAGGC